TTAGAAGTATATTAGAAGTATATTAGAACTTTAGTTCTTGTTTTTATTTCCTTGTCCTGTTTTCCAGTATCTAAGTGTATAAACGGATTATCATTTCATTTCTCACCACTTGAATTTAAGAATGATCAGTTTAACCATTCATTTTTTTGAACCCTTTGTACCTTATTTATCTTCCTTAATACAAACCGTGTCATTCTTTGGAATTCACAAATATACCTTTTCAAAGTACAACAGAAACAACAAAAATGTGCAATTATTAAGCAAATAGTGAGAGACTTACGCCAGGTATAGGGAAGTTTCATCAACCCACTTCCAGGATCCCTCAGTGACTTTATCATTCAAACCAATCCATGCTGCTTTATTAGCGAATGTAGAAACAAATCTCTGTCACATGCAAAAAGAACAATATGTTTTGATTTTCAGTACAGCAATGTAGGTTTCTTATTAACATATTGTAATAAAAAATGCAAAAGTAGAAAAACTTTTTTTAATAAAAAGTCAACCAGCTTCAAAAGAAAAGCATTATTCTTGAGCAAGTACCTAAAACATCACAACTCTATTTTCTGCAGTACAATTTGTGCTCATTTTCATTAGATTAATATTTCTAAGATAGCCTTGAATGTGTCCATGTTGTGGTCAATAGGTCAAAAAAATAAAAAAATAGAGTTATAGCAGTTAATGTATCAGTATGAAGGTGTTGGGATCAAACATGACAGAAGGTGCCAATCCTCAGTCTTTGGGGACATGTTAGCTTTAGAAAAGGCACTTCAGTTTTTGTTGCTAAAAAGGTTCTTCTTTCTCGCAAAAGTGTTTAACAGTTTAAAGATAGAGATTGAGAACTTCTGGGCTTTAAAGGGGAACAGTCACATTATATGCCTATAGAATAAATTATAAAAATAATTTAATGATGAAACAATAAGGCAATATAAACATTTGGCCTTATTGTTTTTTCTTTCCCAATAATGTGTTGATATAATTTTTTTTTTATTCCTGCACCAAGCATGATGAGTAGATGTGTGTCATCTTCTTTGCAGTACCGTGGAACTAACTTCATAACAGAGCATGAAAAAAAAAAATCAATATTTCTACCAAATACAAACAGGGAAAGAGTTTCAAGATAAGAAACATTTTTATCATGGCTGTGAATTTGAAGGGCTAATTTTATGAATTAATTACACTGCAAATGAATGCGTTATAATAATTACTCATGATTAAATCAGAATGCCAATTCAATGCTCATGCATTTTAAATTTGGGCCACTGAATGACCCAGCACTGGGAGGCAGTAATGTACCTAAAGCTGTTGCCAACTGCCAAAACAGAAGAAGAAATGAAAAAGAACGAAGACAGGACTGTAAACCACAGCAAGTTGATTTGTAATTATTGTAAAAAGAAATTATTTTATTCCTGAAGCTGCTCCAGCTTGACATATCATTTAAATGCAAAACCAATAGGCGAAATTATGTACCTAGACCTGTTAATGCTATTGTGAGCACACTTCCCCTACTCATGCTCGCTGAATGTGGTAGATGAAAGAGAAGAGCCATCACAGGCAGAATGTTTAGCCATGCAATACAATTTTTGTAATCATAGAATTCAAATTATTTATTTCGGCACCTTTAGCAAAGTGATGGGCAACCTTGTACCTTATACTGAGAGGTTACTGTTAGGGTTCCTGTTTGTGGGGGTTGTTTTTGTGTTCTTTTTTTTTAGTGTCTCCATGCATCCACCAGATGGTGCCATTGTTTCTCTGTTGGCCTGGAGGGCTTCTTCCTGGTTTCTACTACCCACACCTGCAGCTCGCTGGTCATTACCATCTTAGGAGTATATGAGCAGCGGACTGTCACCATCCCCTCACCAGAGTGTTTGCCCGTATTGGGTACTCTAGCCCCTCTGAGTTTAGCCAAGTCTAACCTTTGAGTTTTCGTTTCTCTGAGTCCTCTAGTTCTAACCCTTTGTCTCTCTTGTGGTCTCCGGCAGGATTATATCCTGATCAACTGGATAAAGCTGGACCTTCAAGCCTTGGTAGGAATTCGTTCGTCTCTCTGAGAGAAAGAAACTATTCACCAGATCAGTACACAGTCCACTTCAGGAAAGCTTGTGAAAGTCTGCTCCGCTGCTCCTCTTGACCACCATTAGTCTGCCTGTCCGCCCTCCAGCAAGTAATCTCTTAAACTGAACAAGCCCCCCCACAAACAGGAACAAAGGAGCAACCACAAACCTCTACAGTGAGTCCTTATCTGGCTTTTATTCAGTATTGACCAGTTTTTTCCTATGGACTGTTGAGTCATATGTTTTCCTTGTGAGAAAGTGTGCCTTTTCTCTTTTCCTGAATAGGAGTGAATACTTAGAAGCTTATCCACTAGGGGAAAACTTCCTTTCATCTTAGAACAAAGCTTCTAAGTATTCACTCCTATTCAGGAAAAGAGAAAAGGCACACTTTCTCACAAGGAAAACATATGACTCTACAGGACCTAGAACTCACCACTCTGATCTCCTCCTAGAGTTTCCGCTTCCAGTTCAGCAGACCACTGGATATCCCCCAAGCTGTGAAAACCATTGTTTGGTCTCTCTGAGCATCCCACCTTTCAATAAACTTTTAAACTTTTTCCCAGCCTCTGAGTTTTTGCTTCTGCATGTTGGCTAAACATTTAAAACCCAGTTGAAAAATTGCATACACCAGTTTATTCAAAGGCCCTACATCAGTGCTAAATATCCTAATCTGGTTTTATTGACAATATGTTTTTGCAGTTATGATAAAGTATATTTATGTATGTAGTTACATTAGTAATTGTGTGTGTGTGTTGAAAAACAAACAGTCATACCACAAAAACTTGTATTTTGTTTGCTTTGACAATGGGACTAAATGTTCCGAAAACGGCAGCATATTGTCAGTATAACAGTATGAAGTGCAGGGTGAGTGATCTGCTAAGCATTAGCCTTCCACCATCTTGTTCATCTGTGGTTGCCAACAACAGGGGATTTCACCCCCTGCAGCATATAGTCATGCGACATCAGATCAATGAAAATATAATTTTCATACATTCAGTTTTGAAATAATAAAAAGATCTTCACATTAAAAACCTAGTATTGTTAAAACATAGCCATTTTATTGAGATATATATCAGTTTGTAGTAGGCTAAGTGATGCAGTCCAAAATCCTTTCAAAAACTAAAGATAAATTACAAAAAAGAAATATTGTTTCCAACTGACATATGCAGCTTTTGACTCTACAGTAGGTGCTGCTGCCTCGAGATTCCATTGTTCCCCATGGCTGCTTAAGCAGATATGAAATAAAAATGTGATTAATTAGATTAATTACTTTAAAATTATCTAATTAACTAGATATTTATTTTAATTGCCTTACAGCTCTCATGTATATCAGTTGAATAATAAAAAACACCTAGACTAAAACATTTTCCTTGGAATGAATGCAAAGTGAAACACATCAAAATGCTGTATCTTGGTAAATGATGAGACCTTGTGGAAATTAATTTCAAACACTTTTTGAATATTCTCCCTCTTGGAAACACATTTTTTCTACATTGTATCTTGAACTTTCCTTCATTATTTCACAGTTTTGCTGTGAGCTGTAAATTGGCTTATCCCCATAATACCTTGATTTCACATTGTGCCACTGTGGACTACTGTATTACATTTCTGGTTATATGGTGTTGTTCTGTTGAATATATGCAGAGGGGTTTTATTTACAGGTAAACTGAGCAAATAAAGTGTAAAACAAAAAAAAAAAAGAAATTTTATATGAACAGGATGCAGTTTGTTTTTCTTTGGAAAACTTTGTTATGTAACCTTATTGAGCTTCTCCCATATAAATAGGATACTGTTTGAGCCATTATTGCCTGGTTAACGGAGGGAGATTGAATCTGACTGGAAAATTCAAACTTTATATGTAGCTTTCCCAACCAACCTCATTACCTGTTCATTAGCATCATCTATCACCACCAGATCTCCTCCTCTGTTTTTGCAGTCATTTCTGCCCTCCTCCCAAGAGCCAGGGTTTGTAGAGAAGAAGTAACAGGAATGCCCGAACATGTTCCATCCTTTCGGACATTTCTTCTCTAAAAATAACATCCAAAAAGATAACTGTCAATATTCTTGCTATTGGCAATGAAAGAGATAAACTGATTTAAAAGTTGAGTGTGAAGTGAGATAAGATGAGATGTAGATAGAAAAAAAAAGGGCTGCAGGCAGGGATGTCAACTCAACCCCCCCAAAACTAATTTATAAATGAGGCCTTACCTTGAGTGGACAAACTCTGAAATCTGATGAGCTGTTTAGACATTTGTGTAATGTTTGAATTCAGTAGGTCTCTTTGTTCAGTCATTAAGGCAAGCTGGTCATTGATGGCCTGGAGATGATGAGTCAGATTGTCTTTGATGTTGGAGAGACCTCCTGTCAAAGGGCCTTGATCCTTGACTAAAAAACCCCCAGAGATATTAGTTCAGAGAAACAATAACCTCTTTTTAAGGCTAATTAAATATTTTATCAAACTTGAATTTATAAAAAAAAAAAAAACTATCACATTAACAGCAACTATACCACTGAAATTTGCTGACTTTTTTATTTCCTATTTGATCAGCAATCATTCTGAAATGGCTTGTCAAAGCAAATCTGTCACACAGAAAATCTACTAAAACCTTATACACAATTGCAATAATATATTTAAAGTATTTCTTTTTATTAAAGTAAAATGATAAGAATTTACAACCAGACTTACAACAAACACCAAAGCTGTAGAGTCTGATCAGCAGAAACACATTCAGGAGCCACAGATAGATCAGAACACCCAAATACAGCCTCTCCTTAGAGCTGCTAGAACCTTAACAAATAAAATATATTCTTACAAATACATTTTATGCAATACTGCAAAATAATGAGAATATATATTTGTGTTTTTCTCTCTTAGGTCAGACGTACCTTTCTTGTTAGTAGTACGTTTTGCAGAATCCTCATTGGTATACATTTCCTCCATTGCTTTGACATATGCCGTATGCACCAAAGTGCGTAGTATATAGGCATTGTGAAACTGGCTTGGTCATATGAGGAAGTTGAACATTGTAAGAATGACACATATAGATACAATATATAAAGACTCTACTTTCTGACCATTTCTATTGCAAATTGTCCCACAAACCTAGCCCTAACCTATACACAAGATTCACATGGATTTTCCATAGGGGTTAAATAATTTGTATTTAAAGAACCCTTAGTAGATGTAAAGATGCTAAATCTGCTGTAAAATTTGATTATTTTTTTTTATTACACTGTAAAACAACAACTGTCAGTTAGGTTTGGATACAGTATGTCTAGATGTTTAAAGTTCCTCCTTTGATAAAATATAGTGAAATTAAAAGAAGTAAGTATAGGTAGGTTTTCATGGCCCCTTTCAGAAGCTTTACAATAAAAGCAAGCATTAAACCCCAGAAGATGAAAACATACAGTAGAAGATAAAACAGTACATATAACACCATACGTTATAAAACACATTAAAAGATAACAAGTCTTCAACAACATGCTAAAAGAATCAAATTCAAGACAGCACAAGAAGGGAGGTAACTTTTTACACTTTCATCAGGTCACTAATCTAGAGTACAGCCATCTATGGTTTTATTCAGATTACTCAATGATAACTGGACCATCTCAGTAAGAAAGCAGGATGTAGAAGTAGGTGTGACTGCTGTAAGAACTTTCTTCATAAGAGCTTTACTTTATAAACATTTTTTTTTTTTTTTTTTGCATCGGTACTTATGTGGTTATTTCTAAACTGTTTCCACTGACTGCTAGTCCTGCCTTTAAAATGGGGCTTAGACCTTACCAGACTGATTTGCTGTACATGCTGTGTACAGAGAATATATTACTCTGGCTTGGCAGGCTAGTCAAAGGTTACTATAAGCAAATATGTTTCAAGTCTCCAGTTAGAGCAACTTAGGGTTTAAGAACTTTCACAGTTTTTTGGAAGTGTGTTCCAGATTAGTGGAACATACTTAATCTGAAACACACTGGAACATTAAAAACTGCTTCTCCATGATTTGGTTTTGGGTTCCAGACTTGAGCCACAAAGCATGTTTACAGGAATGAGGGAAAGTTTTCCGTTTCATCAAGAGATTTTACTCAACCTCTGTTTCTGTTACCATAGCAACATTCTTCCCAGAGCTAAACTGGTCGGAAGCAGGTGTTGTTCAGTAAACTCAGTGTCCTCTGTCTCCACCCTCCTTAAAGCCAATAAGTTGTTTTATTTCCTCATTTGATAAGCAGAGTTCTGTCGTAGTTGTGCAATCAATCAAATTTTTTTTTTGCAAACAATAAAACGGAAATCATTTACCCAGCCCTTTTGACACATTAGGTGTTAAAATAAAAACATTGCATGTTTTCACGAGGATACAATTAAAGAATGAGCTGCAATACTTCACTAAAAATATAATAATTATTGGGAGAGGGTTTTTAGACCACGTACCTTTCATATTCAGAAAGTTATCTTCATGAGCGCTACCCTTTTATCTCCCAATCCATCACATACATCCACAACCTCATCCGTCCTCACATTGGCAACATTTACTTCTTTAACAGGTATTTATAATCAATTAATATTGGTGAGAACAGATTGGTGTGTGATAACAGTATTATAAAATGGATCAAATTTAGAAGGAACCCCATGAGATGATGCGCAGGTTTTACCTGTTACCTTTTTGTGTTCCATCTTCACCTGCTGACAGTTGTGGTTTTTCTCCCATGAGATTTTACTTAAATATAATACATTGATACACTACCATGCAACCAATAAACTAATTTTCCCCAGTAATGTTGTTGTGATTATAACAGGTTATGGTAGGTTGTGTAGATATTTATTAGTTAATTTGAAAAGGTATTTCTGATATCTGAAATACCATTTGTCATTGTAAAAATAAGCTTTTTTAATAAAGTGATGTTCTTTCCTTCTAAAATAAACATTCCAGATGTCCAGAAATACATTTTATATCACCATATTCCCACTGTTGCTGGTCATAATTTGTTTTTTGTATTTTTTAAAAAGAAACTTTAATTTATTATATTCAATACATATACAAATATTTATTCACATCAAGCTGACGTTAAGTGTGCAAACATTTCTAGGTATATAAATTGTAATTATTAAAATGATATTGGGTAAAATTATTTATTTTTTTACATTCACTTTCTGCTGTCAAAATATATATATATATAGGTACTTTAGATCCATCTATCCATTTGTTGTTGTTTTTGTAAATAATGAAATTGATTAAACTGATTGCTTGTTAATCAGATATTCTTTTACTACCAAAAAGCTATATGTTGATCATGGGCAGCTCTAGACAGAGGCCAACAGGGGCCCGTGTTCTGGTAGAACCGGTATCCTGACCCCTTTTAGGGCCTCCCTGCTGAGAAAATAATACAAAATTAGTTTTGTATGATGAAATGTGTTCGTTTAATAACTGCAAATGTATTTCTCCTTGGACATAAATGTTTTAACATTGTCCAAGGCTCATGAGAGACTTTATCTCAATGACCCCAGAGCACACCTGAACATTTGGACATCTGTAACCAGGGCAGCCTGCCTGTAGCTCAAATTAGGGGCATCCTGCTGCTGTGCACTTTAAAATCTATTAGCAGTTTAATGTAACAATAGTATTTTAGAGTGTTATTTTGATCCTGTGTTCTTTATTTGATCGATGTGAATAGCTCTATCTGCAATTGTGCCTTTAAATTGTCTGGAGAGCAATCTGTCTGTTCAATAACTTTTAAAAAGTATAATACTATTATTATTTCCTTGTGGTTTGCATAAAAGTATTTTTGGAGCTAATAGAGTCACATGTAACATAAACACAGGGAATCATGTTCTTGCCAGATAACCAAATTAACATTTTTATAGTGTTATTGTGAAGTTTAATTAATAACGCATANTAAATGAGGCCTTACCTTGAGTGGACAAACTCTGAAATCTGATGAGCTGTTTAGACATTTGTGTAATGTTTGAATTCAGTAGGTCTCTTTGCTCAGTCATTAAGGCAAGCTGGTCATTGATGGCCTGGAGATGATGAGTCAGATTGTCTTTGATGTTGGAGAGACCTCCTGTCAAAGGGCCTTGATCCAGGGCTAAAAAAACCCAGAGATATTAGTTCAGAGAAACAAGAACCTCTTTTAAAGGCTAATGAAATATGTTATCAACTTGAATTTAAAAAAAACAACTATCAAATTAACAGCAATTATACCACTGACATTTGAGGACTTTTTTATTTCCTATTTGATCAGTAATCATTCTGTTTGTCAAAGCAAATCCGTCACACAGAGAATCTACTAAAACCTTATTATCACAATTGCAATAATAATTGAGTCTTTCTTTTTATTAAAGTAAAATGATAAGAACTTACAACCAGAATCACAACAAACACCAAAGCTGTAGAGTCTGATCAGCAGGAACACATTCAGGAGCCACAGATAGATCAGAACACCCAAATACAGCCTCTCCTTAGAGCTGCTAGAACCTTAACAAATTAAATATATTCTCACAAATACATTTTATGCAATACTGCAAAATAATGAGAATATATATTTGTGTTTTTCTCTCTTAGGTCAGATGTACCTTTCTTGTTAGTAGTACGTTTTGCAGAATCCTCATTGACATACATTTCCTCCATTGCTTTGACATATGCCATATGCACCAAAGTGCGTAGTATATAAGCATTGTGAAACTGGCTTGGTCATATGAGGAAGATGAACATTATAAGAATGACACATATAGATACAATATATAAAGACTGTACTTTCTGACAATTTCTATTGCAAATTGTCCCACAAACCTTGCCCTAACCTATACACAAGATTCACATGGATTTTCCATAGGGGTAAAATAATTTGTATTCAAAGAACCCTTAGAAAATGTAAAGATGATAAATCTGCTGTAAAATTTGATTATTATTATTTTTTTTAATACACTGTAAAAAAAAAACAACAACTGTCAGTTAGGTTTGGATTCAGTATGTCTAGATGTTTAAAGTTCCTCCTTTGATAAAATATAGTGAAATTAAAATACGTAAGTATAGGTAGGTTTTCATGGCCCCTTTCAGGAGCTTTATAATGAAAGCAAGCATTAAACCCCAGAAGATGAAAACATACAGTAGAAGATAAAACAGTACATGTAACATCATACAGTATAAAACACATTAAAAGATAACAAGTCTTCAACAACATGCTAAAAGAATAAAATTCAAGACAGCACAATAAGGGAGGTAACATTTTACACTATCTTTAGGTCACTAATCTAGAGTACAGCCATCTATGGTTTTATTCAGACTACTCAGTGATGACTGGACCGTCTCAGTAAGAAAGCAGGATGTAGAA